GTTGTGGTCGTGTCTGTTCACCTCAAACTCGATTTTAATGATCTGGACCTATTGTATCTGAATGCATCACGTACAGCATGATGTAAACGAGGAAAACAGCAGTGTCATGCTTGCTGTTCTTTAATCTGCTGTTGTGTGTCTGTATATCTAAGTCAGTATGTTCGTATATATCAAATAGAAAACAGCTTTTACAATTGGAGATGGAGCAGGTATCATGGGGCACACATGTGTTCCATTGCTCCTTTGCAAGACCCACAGGGATAAGTAAACATATGATTTTAAGGTGCTGAAGGTTCAAAAAATTGTGGTTGTTTAAGGAATTCATCAACTTTTCCGGTGATAACATCTATTAAAAGGAGCAGCTGCTGTCATCTTTTATGTAGGCTTTTTTGCTTTTTCAAAAAATGCCTTTTTGAGTTATCTACAGCCTATGCTTATTTTGTTAAATCCTCAGAACTTTATTTCGGTCCACCAGCATGCACAGTAGGGAAGTAGTCGCCATGAAGTTCGGCCTGTTAGTGTAGGAATTTCTCAGGCACGAAGAGATCTACAGAGCTCATATCCGATTATGTAGAGCTCTACTGGGGCTGTTTAAAGATTGCATGACAATTTTAGAGGAAGCCCGTAAAAATATTTTTCTCGAAAAAAGTTGAAAATCGGCCATTTTTGCACCCTGAAAATGCCCCCATTTTTTTTTTGAGTGAATGAGTTTGAAGTCTTCCCTTTTTCCACGGAATGGATCAAATTTTTGATTGCTGCAAATATTGTTGGGGTAATAACTTGCACATTTTCTGGCCCTATCACCGAGGCGTGACGATCCTTACAAGATTGGCGCCGACTGCGAAAACATGCACAGTCAAAAAAGGCAATTTTGAGAGCTTGTAATTTTTGTGCGCGTGTTGTGAAATCCGAGCACACCTGCGGTTTTGTAGTGGACAGCCTGCCTATTCACACAGGCCAACACTCAAATGATTTTTCTTGTTTACTATGAAGAATGGCAGCAAAAAGAAGAATTTTGAAATTTTCGTTGTGGCACAGACTTCCTTCTTTGGTGTGTAGATCAAGATAAATCATATCGATAAAAACTGGATGGAGTCTGGAATAGGCTTTCTTCTACAGAATCGTATAAAATATTTGTCGATAAGATTCGACTGGGAGCGAAGAAAATGAGTCTGAAAATGAAATTTTCTGAGAACATTCTTTACAACCTAATACTTAATAACTGCAAATATGCCACTACGATGTCAAGGCTTCAATGAATTCTTGGAAGCGCACATTTTCCGAAACAGGCCTGTAAAGCTACAAGTTTCCAAAGTTTTTACCATATAAAAATATACACTGTTTGTGTTCCAAAAGCATGCATGCATTTAAAACTCTCTTCCCCAAAGTATTTTGCCAGTCTGGAGAGTAGCTTTCCGTCTGAATGTGTTCATCTCATTTAAATCTATATTGAAGCACGTTCTTCAAGCTGCTGTGAAAGGGTAGATTTGATAAGGTAACAAACATATATGCAGAAATCAGCTTTACATGATGGCACTTAAACATGGCAAGAAATTCAATCTAAAGTATAGAGGAAAAATCTAAAAGACTTTAAACCTCAAAAAATCAGATCTTTTTCAAAAAATAAATACTATGCATTTGTCGTTTTTTGTTCTCTTATGCCTTTGGTTGGACATCTCTTGTAAAATGGTGCTCATAGATGGTAAAATTATGGCCACTTGCAAAAAGTTTATACCACGGAACTACACAAGTCTGAGAAGTCCAGCATTGCTTTGGGGTGAGCATGCTGAGTTTCGCTTTCCCATTTCTAGCCCTTGAAAGAATTGCTATGACTCTGACAAAGGTCAAAGCGTCCACTGTTTGAACCCTGATTCTTCCTATAGAGTAAATTTCAGTTTTACAAGCATTTCTCTCATTCGTGAGCGCAGCCAACCAACTTGTGGAAGGCAGATAATGGAAAAGGGCTAGGCTCAAAAACATATACCACACAATAGTGGAAAATGATCAACAGTGAACTTAGAAAAACATCGAAGTGACGAGTGGATCTTATGAATCACGCAGTGTTTGAATGTGTGCTAGAGAGATTGTCTTTTCAAAGTAGAGCGTACATGTTAAGTACGGATATCTGCACTTGTTGGCAGTATTCGCTATGGCGAATGACAACACAGCCGAAGCGGAAATGAAAAAATAGCTCACTCAATGTTTGCAACGGTGGGAACGTTTTATTGTTGTTCTGCATTGCGTAGTTTATAATAAAAGCGCTTTATTAGTAATTCCACGATTGTTGATTCTAGAATGCTAGATGGCTTTCACGTCTAATCTCACAGTTGTAAGAATTTAATAATTCGTAAATTCATATAGATTGCTTGTGTGATTTCCTTACACATAAAAGAACCAAGAACTTCTTCACCCAATCTCGAATAGGGCAAGGAAGAACTTAACAGGGGTAGCATGAAGAAGGAAGCTTACTTTTTACGAAGGTAAGATTACTATGCATAGGCCGTTATGTTCGTTAGACGGATTTGACTGCGGTCTTTGCGCCCAGAGGAGCAGAAAATACTCATTCGAAAAAAAAAAATCACCTCAACTCTTAGCTTAGTCTCTTCCAATGTCTAAATAGTGTAAAATATAAGCAGAAAAACCATTCGAGTAGAAATGAAAACCGTGAATGCGGTTCCTGTAAATGCGTGCGTGTTGCTCGCGGTTGCGTCATCGTCACGATTTTTCGAATGCCCTATATGTCAAACCTCGCATTGGTGCTGGCAAATCTCAGGATAAATGCGAATGGCGAAAGGAATGCTATAAGAATTGGGAATCTTTTTTTCTCCAATAATTATTGCTTAGAACCAATCTCATGTATATTCAATAAAATGACATTTTTGTGTGGAGTTAAACATCATCTCAGGAACACTTCCAACTTGCGCAACACAGCATACAAAGCATATAAGTATCACAACCGATTTTATCCAATGAATTCCAAAGTACCAGACGTACTTAACATAAACGTTGGAAAATTGCCTAATCACTCACGTGAAGTTTCCAAAAATAGTAAGTCTATATGTATATCTGAAAGCATAAACTACTACAATCACTCTACTGACATTTTACCAAACCTTCATTACGAAGCTCGCCATCATTTAAAATGCAGGTGATGCAAATGAAAATCATTTACCATTCTTATTTGAATTAAACAAACTGAGTAAATGCAATCTCGATTCGGAACTTCTTTTTAACGTGGCCTCATCACTTCAAATTTCTTCTCTGTTGCGTGCACAATTAGAATTCTTCCTCCAGGTACGGAATTTTTTTGAAAAATCATACCCTAAAGTAGAAAGGAACCTAATGATTTCAAGACGCTCAGTCAATCCGTGAAAGGTGATTGGGTCTTTGGGCAACACTTACTACAAGTCTCAAATTTTGCGCCGAATGTGTAATGTATAAAGAATAACGAAAAGCTTTCCCCACATACTCATTAATTCTGAAAAAGTCAATCGCACTATTTGCCAATTAAGCTTTTCACATGTCTTCATAGTATGATTCCTACATAACATTATGTTCCTATACACAAAAAATATGGTCATTTTTTGCTTGTGCACAAACGGGTTTTTATTACCGTTGCTAATATTCAAGGTTTGCCACTAGCTTCATTCACATTTTGAACTTTCCTATTTGGTACACATTTTTACATTGTACATGTGAGACCGTTATGGCGCTCTGTTTGGGACGACCTCATTTTTGTCACAGCGTTTGAATGTAGCGAACATCGACGAAAATATGATGATACATAGCGAGATGAATGAACCGAGGAGATTCTTGCTCAATGCAACTTGATATGGTTGAAAGCAAAACAGTAGAAAAACCACTACAACAGGTATTTTGCTACTCTGACCCTCATAAGTCGCGTGATATTTATAACTTTCTTTCGCTATTGAACAAATCAGGAAAATGACCAGATCCGACAGTTACACTATCAGAGAAGCATAAGCAAGGGCTTGAATAATAATAAAGTTCTGCCTAAAAAGCCAATTTTTGCCCTTATTATTTTGAAAGTCAGTGAGGATGAATAAAAAACGAGTCTCCAGAGCTTTTAGCGGCTATATATGCTGCAGCAATTGCACCCATATATGAATTTCTAGATGAAAACAATTCTCATGTTATGGAAGGGCCACATGGCATTGCAGTTGCAAGAAGTAACGGAGTCGAAGTTGCAGTGCATGCAATGGCTTGAATTAATCCATGAAAATCCGAAAACTGTGTGGGTTTCAGTATTTCAGAAGTAGCTGCTCAGGCAACGGATAGGACCCCTCCGCCGGAGAAATGGCAGGGTCGCGGCGTTTCCCCAGTGGTGGGTCTCCCATTCGTCCGCCGGAGCCCTCCCATTTCTGCTCCGGATACCTCCCATTTTCTGCTCCAGATACCTCCCATTTTCTGCTCCGGAGGCCTCCCATTTTCTGCTCCGGATACCTCCCATTTTCTGCTCCGGATACCTCCCATTTTTTGCTCCGGATACCTCCCATTTTCTGCTCCGGATACCTCCCATTTTCTGCTCCAGATACCTCCCATTTTCTGCTCCGGATATCTCCCATTTTCTGCTCCGGATACCTCCTATTTTCTGCTCCGGAGCCCTTCGATTTTGTGCGCCGGAGCCCCCCGAGTTTGTGCTCCGCAAGTCTGCCGCGGCATACTGTAATTAGCCCTGATTAAGCTCCAAACCCCAATTTTGTCTAAACCCCACCCAAATCAGCCGAATACGACCCCCCCCCCGGGTAAGAGTTCAGCGCGACCCTCAACCCCGTTCTTTACCCCCTCCCTCTCACCCCAGCGTTTGTGGATAGAAGATAGAAGAAAGAACGAAGAGATAAGACATTTATTTCAAATTTGCAAATAAATGCACTACCACAAACCATTTCTTTCCATGTAAGATACTTTATCTACTATGACAGTGGCGTTCTCCTCAAGTTTTGACATTGCCTCTTCGAGCTGGCCCGCTCCACAGAAAATCAGTTCTGATAGAGGACAAGTTCCGAGTACTCGAAGTCGTAGGAAGAAGGCTACAATGAGGAACAGAGAGGCTAGAGTGAAATCGCGTACAATGTGGTAAGAAATACCATCCCACAAATAGAACAACACAGCAGATTAATTTAACAGCTGACTGAAGATGCTCTACCTTCTTGGTATATCTCAGGTTGTTATCAGCCGTATACCGACTCAAGCACAGGTATTGATGTTCTCATATAGGGGCCTGCAGGATCGCGAGAGTCGGACGCGCGTACGGCCTTTGCGCCGCGCACGCCTGATATCGCTGGGTCGGCAGTCGATTAAGACTAGATAGGTAAGTTTTTTTGTTTTTCTTTACATTTCACGCCTTCTTTTCTTTTCAGACGGTGAGCACATGTTGGTGCGGAGGAGTTTAAGATCTGAATTAAGGTGAGGTGCAGGATTATGCTCAATACGGACTCAATATTGCAGACCTTCCATGCCTGCTGGTTGAGGTGTTGGATTTTCTGTCCTGGCTGCCCTGTTACAGCAAACTGTTCTATTTCTACCGTCTATTCTACCTTATCTTGCATATTGCTTGTGATTATGATGATGATGATGACAATGATTATGATTGTGATGACGCGCATGATGCAAGATGAGGTAGAACAGACGTTGCAAATATTAGGTTGGCACATAAGTAATGCAACTTTTTATTTAACTTTTGTCTATTTGAACGTAGCGCATTCCATTTTTTGGCAATATAAGGAATATGATGTAAGCTTCTAATGCACACATTTTTGCCGAATTTTACCATCTTATATGAGGATTACGGTAGGTTTACGGTACTATGGGAAAATTTTTAGAATGCATTAGATTTTGCTGAAACTTGGCCTATAAGGCTTATTTGACATGCTGATCACAAAAATGAGATCCGTTTCGCATGAAAAGGCCTAGTTCCTGAGATCAAAAGATGAATTTCATTTTAGCGACAAATGAATATGATATTCGTGTTTACCGCATAGGATTACCCTATAGTGCAAAGTTATAGCGAATTCTGACTTTTCGCAGCGTAGTTATCGACAAATTGCCTTCAAAACTTGACGCATTTGACTTGTTCAACTTCTCAAAGGCGCCCCACTTTAATTTGTGTTTAAATTTCATTTCGTTTTCACTGATTCCAATGTGCCAACTTCCAGCTACATGCTGCCTATAATTGCTTTTCCGTATGTTTGAATCAGGTTTCGTAAGGCTTCATGTTTGCCAAAAAATCGTGAAACCTCGATTTTCAGCAGTTTTCAAAAAATGCTTAGATTTTTTGTAGTACGTTATCAAAAATCAAACGGTTTGCGTAGACTTGGAGCTTATATCACGATCTACATGATGCCACAGAATGAGATTGCTACATAAAATAGGAAAAAAGTTACGGGAAAAGTTGCAAAACTTATGTGCCAACCTAATAAAACGGAGTTGCGTAAGCGGGCAGGCAGGACGAAAAATCGAACATAATCGGACAGCCAGAACAGAAAACTCAGCATTCTTCAAAGCAGGGGTGAAAATTCCACAATATTGGCCCGTATTGAGCATAATCCTGCACCTCACCTTAATCTAGATCTTAAACTCCTCTGCACCAACATATGTTCGCCGCCTGAAAAGAAAAGAAGGCGAGAAATGAGAAGAAAAACAAAAAATCTCACCTATCCAGCCTAAATCGAGTACGACCCAGTGACATACGACGTGCGCGGCGCAATGGCCGTACGCACGTCCGACTCTCGCGATCCTGCAGGCCCCTATACACAGATTGAGAAGACTTTTAGAAGTCAGTTGAAGATACATGGCAGTAATTTGTTAATAGAAATCAGCATGACTTTAGCGCTTACATCTTCGCACTACTATCTTAGAAGCAAATAAAAATGATTGAAAAAATTCAACATTGTCACAATTAAAAAGACAAAAACAAGGCAAGAACTTTTGAGATTTGAGCAGAGAATCATGAACAACAGCAAAAGTGGCACTATCCTACCTCACTGTTTTGAATGAATTCCACTAGTATATTGAGTGCCTTCTCGTAATCTTTCAAGACATGATATGCTGTGACGTAAGCAACCAAGACACTTTCTGCGTTGGCCGAAGTCGCAGCAAATGATGACGAGATTCCTAAGTGATTACAATGAAAGTCTCCTGGACTGAGCAAGAAGAACCAACTTTGCGCCCTTCACAGCCCCTCATTTGTATCTGGAGTAATGAGAGATCTCTCAAAATCTGCATGTTGTCTTTGTCAAGAATTAAAGCTCGCTTGTATGCCTAAATATCTATGCCTAAATATGACAGATATCCATAAAATCATTAAAACAGAAAAAATGGAATAGCTTGATTGCCTCGTCGTAGTTTTTGTCTGACCTTTGAACAAGCCCGTATACATGCCAGCAAACATAAGATTTCAAATCAGCCTAAATACAGGAATGATGAGTGAAACACTATACAAGGAACTAAAAAGGACTCCTAACCTTCAAACCTCTTTTCACACATTCCTGTGCTTCTTGTTGCTTACCCATGTTAAGAATGAGCTCCTTTATTGCTAAGGTTTCTGTAATGCGTATCATGCGAGCATAAAATCAAAGTCAAAAAAAGGATCCACCTCCATATTCAGCGAATTTCGGATTACTCAAAATTGTCTTCGCATACTTTAGTCCAAAGCGATATTTCTTTTGTTCGTATGATTTCTGCAATCAGAAGCAAAAGACTCGGATGGGAAAAAATTTAGTGAGGCTATTACTTAGAAATAGCTCATAAAATACCCACTATCATTGTTGAACAGGCCCAACTCCTTTGATGGCAAAGGCTGACTACTTCACTGACCCGGGGGAGTCATCCCTAAAACCGAAACAAATGCTCGATAATGACATGTAAGTGAAATCGCTATCCGCGTTAAAGAAGCACAGACACTTTTGAATAAAATAAAAATCTAGCACGAAAATAGATATTAGGTAAAAGTACACATCAAGATTTTGAGAAGAAAAAGTTTAAACGCAACCTTCACTGCGAGAAATGCAGGAAAATATGACGAATAGTTCGCCGAATAGTTCGAATAGTTAGCCTTTAAGAACGTCTCAAAATCTCACAGCGTGGCTACGCGCCAAATCGATACGCAGCCTGCTCCGGGGCCCTCCCATTTCTGTTCCGGATACCTCCCATTTTCTGCTCCGGATACCTCCCATTTTCTGCTCCGGATACCTCCCATTTTCTGCTCCGGATACCTCCCATTTTCTGCTGCGGAGGCCTCCCATTTCTGCTCCGGACCCCTCCGATTTTCTCCGGCGCGAGTCCGCCAAATCTGGCAGAGTCGCGCCGGAGAAATGGCGTACCTTTGCAGCAGGGCCGGAGAAGCCTCCCACTTGCCTGCCAGTGATGTCACCGCGACGGACCGCCCATTTGCCCCTCTCTCATTGGTCAACTGGGTCCGGCGCGACTCTGGCAGATTCGGACTGTCCGGCGGAGGGGTCCGGTCGATTGTCTGAGTGAATGTTACCTCAGACAATCGCAAATGAGTTCCGGGGAAAACTGAAGCTCTAAAACTTCCGGAGGGACACTCCTATTGGAGCTGCCAGGTAGGGCGGAGCCCACCCATACGGTCGATAGGAGCGTCCCCCCGAAAGTTCTATAGCTTCAGTTTCCCCCGGAAGTCATTTGCGATTGTCGTAGACAAATAGTACTATGGCAGAGAACCTCATTTGCTTAAAAGGTAAGGGAATACGGAAGGAAAACGCAAATGGAACGCATGACTGTTAACTGAATCTGATGGAATCTGACGCAAACTGGAATGGGATGGAATCTGACAGATTTCGATGCTGGATTGCTTTCAGCAATATCTCCTTGTCTTGACGCCCTTTTATAACAACATAAAATTCCTAACTCTGATTTGTTTACATCGCAAAACTGCGGAGATCAGCAAACATCATCGACGTGCAGTCTTAGGCCCTGCACTCTTCGCAGAATGCCCGCAGCGGCCCGTCGAGACAAGTGCAAGCGCCTTCATCATATCGGATGGAACTGGCTGCTGACTAGTCGGCGCTGCAGTACGTGCACTTCAGCAGCATCGGCCTCTACTGCCTGCGTTTCTGAAAAGACTGATTTGATCGAGCGTCAGCAGCGAGGAGTACGCTGCGACCGTGAAAGCGCTCCGATGCAGCGGTGGCTCTCAAACTTACCTGGATGGGGGTGTCTCGCGATCAAGAAGGCGGGAGCCCCACGGTGAGGCCTTCGCATTGCACTTTGGCGAGGGCTGACCTGTGTGGCAGCCTCGAGTTGAGGTTAGCCAACAGCTAAATTTTTGCGTGTGGGGCTGCGTTCGCGCGGCCCTGACAAGAACATGGAGATTGCAGTGCGAGGTGCAGGCAGTCGGAAGAGGATTCTTTTGAAGCTCGCAGTCGCTCAACCGCGGCGTGCGAGGAGGCACAGACGGTGAAGATCTCGGTGGCGTCATGCATCGAGCTTATTTGCGCATCAGGAATTACTCGTGTAGGGGAGTTTGGCCTGAAAAACCATATCTTGCAGATTTATGTTGGTGCACATCTTGACCGGTGACCCTGTACACAACTCAATCTTGGTGTACTGCACTATCCCCCCTGTGCAGGTTTCCGAGTCTTTTTTACGATCATGGGAATGTGTACATCTGAGAAGACGTCTACGGCTCAAAGTCACAGCGATCATCTTATCCCAGCACTGATTCTGATTCCGACATGCATGCTTACCTTCGCACTTCGCGCAAGTTTCGAGTCGTCCCTCCGTCCTAAGTCCTTCTGGAACTTCTCTCATTTTACAGTCGAGCACCAATCAACATACTGCCAACCTGCAAGTGAGGGCCATATCGCATTTGTTTCGCGCTTTCAAATCCGCTTAAGCACAATGGTTAAAATGCCCGAGCTTTTGAACTCTGTTTTTTATCTGTTTTTCGCTAGCTTCCATTGTTATAGTCATAACCCATGCACCTTTCCGTAAGCACAACTCCTCCCTCCCCCAGAATGGGCCGCGAAATTTTTGAAAATTACTTATATGGGTTATAAAAATGTGCGAGTGGCTTGTTTATTCTTGTAAACAATTAAAATAATTTTTAAAAATTCAAATTAGCTCTGTAAAAAAATTTTCTGGGGGGTCGGGGATCCGCAAAAATCTAGAAGCACCCCAAAAATTTTTTCGGAGTGCGCAGCTAACGCCACGCAGCTTCATTGAAAAAAGTTTTTTTGCCGCCCCTCCCCCGGAAGGCAATCCTGGGACTGCCACTATCGATAGTCCATGCTAATGAGGCGATTGGAATAAGCGCATGTAATATCTAAATTTCAAAAGCGAATCTTGTCAAGTCTCCATCCCCAAGACTTGCGTTTCTGTATTAGTGAAACTGTATCTCGTTTCTCCAAAAGTCAGGAATTCTCCTTCGTTTTGGCATGCAAATCTTCATAAAAGAATGGTTTGTTGTTCCCAATCTATGGTTTTTTTGCGCTGAAGTAACTTAAACATTTTTCTATCACATATAGACCAAATAGAATTTTTTTATTATTCAAAAGACGGATATGCCCTAACCAAAAAGTAAATTTACAAAAGCTCAGATCTTTGAACTTTCAAATTTTATTTTCATGCTGTAAAAAAGAGATGAGTTCATTGACATTTGGATACGGACAGAGTTCTTTGAGTGAATAACAAAAATATGAATTGCCGTTCCGAAATTCTGTCAAAGAAAAGAAATTTCTTCACATTTGTCGCAATGAAAAAATTGTGTAGCTATTCCTTTGCGCCTTTCCTGCAATGAAAAATACAATAATTCTAATAAAAAAATCCATTCCCAATTCTCACTGTCCTTTCCAGAGCCACCTTTCGGAAAAAAATTGTCTGCAACATTTAGAGCAACCGAAATGACCGAACCTGTTTATTAGCTAACCTAAATATTATTAGGTTGTCACGAAAGTTTTGTCCGTTTTTTCAACCTATCATAAAAATAAGCGGAACAAAGATAGGGAAACGCCCTAAGCACTACGCATCTTTTTCTCCTCTTTCTAAATGTCAAGCCCACATGCCGATTACTCTTTTGCTCATTGACATAAACGCCGAAATTTCGAACACATGGTTTTTACTATGTCCAAGTTTGACAATTTTTCACAATCCTCATTTTCAACTTTTAGAAGAACTTTGACAGCCCCTAGATAGAGTAAGCAAAGGGCAATGCAATGCAATTATTTGGCATATCTAGCTGGCTTTTCAATATTTTTAAAGATAATTGTTTCAAAATTCTTCACTTTTGCGAAGTTCTAAAATACAGAAACGCCTCGAACATTAACAAATTATCAGATTTTGAAGCTTCCAAAAACCGATTACGATTATTCACTATTTTTACGAAGTAATTGAGCGTTTACCTCTTCGAAATATAAGATTTTGCATTTTACGTGTACACGCTGGAGTGGGGTCAAATTCAGGAATTATAAAAATTTTATCGCCAAAGACTCGGCAAGTTGGAGAGGAAATACACTCACTGGAAAGAGGAGAAAAAGCTGCATCGAATAACACCTTAGTTGTGCGCCGTTTCATGAACTCTGGCTTTTGGCATCACCAAAAGTGGAATTTGATAGCATCAGAAAAATAATTCTAAAAAATTTTCAAGGCTGGCTATAGATGCCGCAAAATTGCATTATATTGCCCTTTGTTTGCTCTATCTAACTGTTGCCAAAGCTTTTCCGAAAGTCAAAAATAAAGATTGTGAAAAATTGTCAAACTTGGACATAGTAAAAACCATGGGTTCGAAATTCGGCGTTTATCTTAGTGAGCAAAAGATTAATCGGCATGAAAGCATGACAGTTAGAAAGAGAAGGAAAAGATGCGTCGGATAGTGCTTAGAGCGTTTCCCTATCTCCGTTCAACGCGTTTTTATGATAGGTTGAAAAAACGGACAAAACTTTCGGGACAACCTAATTATGAAGAAAAATGGGAACTTGCGCAAATAGTATAAAATGCGTTATAGCGAAAAGTTAGTTTGCTCCTCTTCACCTCTGGTTAGGTTATAACTGACTTGATGAAATTGTTGCAGAGGCATATGCAGAGCCTTAATTTCTCTTCTATTTTCAAATAGATCTTTGCTATTGCTCCTATCTGCCCAATCAGAGTTCAGAGTTTCTGGGATGAAAATGCAAATTTTTTTGTACTACTAAAATACACTCGCCAACAAAGATATTTTGGCACCTTCGGCTATTCGAGCCCCAGAATTTTTTTTGTCGTGTATTTAGGCTGCGTTCATACTGATCCGGAAGTTCGGAAACACTTCCAGCACAGCGGTCAGTTCGAGCGCTGTGCTGGAAGTGACTTCGAGATCAGTACGAACACAGCCTTAGCTCCAACATCGTCAAGGTACATATACGGTAGAGGGTCAAAATCAGACTTGGTCGGAGCTTTGTTCGGGGGTCATTTGGCATTTTGACCATGAATATCATATTTAATCGCAGGGGAGCAATTTCCTCGGGTCCTCGTTGTGTGTGCGGCAGGTGGCTCACAATTCAATGGTTTGCGTATAGGGGTGTTCTAGCAAAAAAAAAAACACGTTTTGAAACACACCTTTCACATG